TTCTATTTTCCTGGAGACTGTTCTTAAAATAGCTTCATGCTACAGCAGTGAGTCAAAAGGCTCACATTCTGATGAAATTCGTGTCTCTTAGGACTATTCCATATTTAGAGTGGACAGTGGGGAATTCTAGTTATAAAATGTCAAGAAAGATCATGCTTCTCAAAAATAGATCCTTTCATCATTTATATAGAAAATGAAATTTATACTGTACAGATGGTTCATTTGATGTAGGACCAAAAGGAGCTGAAGAACTGGCCATCATCACTCGTGCTCAGTAGCTGCCCCTGTATAAATTTCTGTTGACCGATAACTTTTATTTTCTTAGGGATGACATATACATCCAGTCCCTGTCAAAATGATATATATCAGGTAGTCCTTGACCTACGACCACCATTGAGCCCTTTCTTGCCACAGTTGTTAAGTGAATCACTGCAATTGCTAAGTGAGGAACATAGTTGTTAAATGAATCTGGCTTCCCCATTGACTTTGCCTGTCCAGGTCGCAAAAGAGGATCACATGACACTGGGCATTTGCAACCATCATAAATATGAACCAGTTGCTAAGTGTCCGAATTTTGATCACGTAACCACAGGGATGCTCCAATGGTCATGAGAAAAACGGTCATAACTCACTTTTTTCAGTGCTTTGAACGGTCATTAAAAGAGCTGTTGTAACTTGAGGACTGTGTGTGTGTATGTGTGTGTGTATTTTCCTCTGATTTTCTTTTTTAAATACAAAAAAAAATGAAAGAACAATATCTCTAGCAACATAATAACAAAAGCAAAAAGTCCAAATGTCAAGTTTGATGCCTTTACATAATACTAGTCCCTGTGCTTTAAATAATCAGGACAATTACTAACATCAATTTAATGCATAATTTAAAAACAGGAGTGACAGGAAAAATAGAGGAATTAGCACAATATATGAAAAGATCCAAAACAATTCCAAAATATTTGACCAGTTTGCCTGAAAATATTGAATCAGAATCAATCTTTATTATGGCCACAGACCAGCACAAAAATTAAACATTAAAATAAATACATTCTCTGAAAATTATTGGAAAGTAACCAAGCAAAGTAATAATAGGAGTAAGGGTCTGTAGTTCTTTTAAGTGTTTTCCTTATTATCATAGCAGCAGCACAAAATTTTGCTATTTCACGAGTGGTGGCTGGATTTGAATCCTGAAGGAGATGGTTCATGTAGAAATTATCAGATCTCCCTAGAAATCTCTCTAGTAGAGGGAGAATATATGTTTTTTTTAACACATTTTATTAGTTTTTTAATTTCTTAAGAAAAAGTACTCAGGACCCACCGTGGTGTTTGGGTGGTCAAACATTCAAAAGTAAAGACATATATAAACAACTCAACTCAATACATTTCACTAGAGTAACATAATACATTTAAAATATTCCATTTCTATTTTAAATTTCTATTACTGCTAAACCTGTTTTATAACTTTATCAGTTTAAATTACCATAGTTTAACTTTAAAACAACAAATTATCAATTCTAATTCTTAATCTCTCACATCCCTCATTTCATCACCAATCTCATTTGTTTCTTCTTCCACTACACAATAAGTATCCTAAAAACAATAAAGTGTTAATCAACCCTATACATATGTAATCCCACAATCAATCCATTTCTTTAGAGTAGTATTAAATAGTATTAAGCCTTAATTCGTTCAAATTCATTAAACAGAATTCAAGTTTTCTCCGATTACTTATCATGCCTTATCACGTCTTTGTTGTCATAGAAAAAGGTGATCTACTAATTTAAAACACTCCATTAATTATTAACACCATCCAAATCTAAACAGTCATCATTTTTTCAATTCCAATATATAATGATTTTCATCAAATTAAATCTATTATTCCCAAACATTACATGAATACACAAATCCAGTACATTCTTAACCTGTTTAAAATATCTATTATAATAATCACGCTCCTATATATATGTATATATATTTTCTTGCTTCTAACTCTAAATCTTAATCCTTAAAACAGTCCATAAAACCAGCGTTGCCTTTTATTCCATTACACAATTTTAAAGAGGGAGAATATATGTTGATCTGATATCCCTGTAGAAGAACTTGCAGCTCAATAGGACCTGTGAGACATCTTCAACTTCCCTATTGTGACATGTACACATTCGCTCAGCTATTGAGGTTTTATCATACCTGCCCTGCAGGAGTGCTAAGGGGAGGATATCAAGTCTGGCTCTAGAAAATAGTATTCTACTCTTAGGGAAGAGGCAGGACTTTCAGATACCTTGCTGGTTCCCACACACCCCATTTAATCCAATTTCTGCTGTGGAGAGATATCCTGTTAAGTTCTAGCTGGAACTCCATGTCTCTTATTCTATTGGTAACCACTTGCTTGGCTTGATCGTAGCCTCTGGATATTAAAAACAACGGGGAAAGTCCATAGAAGGCCAGCTTATGCTCTATCACCTGTTTCCAGGGAGAGGGAAAGTTGTCTATCGGGACTAAAAGGGGTCAAGACCTCTGGGAAGAATGAAAATATTGAGGGGTGAAGATTTGGAGCGTTATCTGTTCTGCAATTATTCTATGTATGATGTGGATAACTTTTAATTTGTTATGTCCTACTTCAGGATAACATTCTTTCGTGATAAGCCATATAAAATTGATTAATCGCGATAAGAATAATCTAATAAAGTAGCCTGGNTGAAAATATTGAGGGGTGAAGATTTGGAGCGTTATCTGTTCTGCAATTATTCTATGTATGATGTGGATAACTTTTAATTTGTTATGTCCTACTTCAGGATAACATTCTTTCGTGATAAGCCATATAAAATTGATTAATCGCGATAAGAATAATCTAATAAAGTAGCCTGGCAATATTGTCAGAAAGATTGTGAGCTTTTCTTTTTCCCTCTCCTTGGTTGATTTTGGTTTTTGACAGGATGGGTCTGGTCTATCCAGAGATGTTCCAGAGCCCTTTTCAGAATTTTCACTATTTACAAATTATTGTTATCTTGCAAAATATAATAAAAACAATGCAAACAGCCACTTATCCTCTTCTTCAATAAAAGGGTCTTTAAAGCATATAGTTAATGCCAAATATATTGTAACAGGCTATTTTGAACACTTGCATTCTTTTTTGGGGGTGTTCACAGTGAATTTGGGTGTCCTATTCCTGTCATTTCAACCACTCTCTCCCCATCACAACTCAAATACTTTTGGGGTTTCACTTTGGATGTGCAACACAAGATCCGTAAAAGAAAATCATAAACATTCACAGAATGCTCTTCTTTCCCTTGCAGGTGAATCTCTTTTTCCTGTTGAACATTGTCCGTGTTCTAATCACAAAGTTAAAAGTCACCCATCAGGCGGAATCCAATCTCTACATGAAGGCAGTCAGAGCCACCCTCATACTGGTGCCCCTACTCGGCATTGAATTTGTGCTGGTCCCATGGCAGCCACAAGGCCGTGTCGCTATAGAGATTTTCAGCTATGTGACACACATCCTGATGCACTACCAGGTATCAAGGATTCAGAAGTGTTGGAAATTTATAGTGCTTGGAATCTGAACAAAATGAGTAATTGAACTGATTTCTTATTCAAGCAGCAGTTGGGAGTCTTGAATATACAGTATATATATATTTAGCACAGTATTTTGCTCAGATTTCTCATGTTAAGAACTGAATGACATTGCAAGAATGAGAGGAGGGGAACAAGTCCTTCACGATTTCTGCCTTCAGGATCAGTTTTTCTAAAGATAGGAAAGGGAGTAAAAGTGTTTTTTGTAGCCAGCAATTTCCAATACACAACACTTTTACAATCATGCAGAAGAACGAGTTCCTTCCAAACTTTGTAATTACTGCTTTGGCAGACTTCCTTCTGAGATCTGTTTTCTTAGCCAATAGCTTTTGGCTATGGAATAGCCACACAAGGTCCAATGTAAAGTCAAGTGAAATCATAATTAGAAAGAGAAAAAACAATTTTCAGATTAGAGCAAATGACCTCGAAGCCGCAGTCAACAGAGAATTAGTGCATGGAAGGTATCAGAAGATATTTTAGAATCAACTTGTTTCAGTCCTATTTAAGTTGGTCTACCAAGAATGGATCAATGAAGATTGAATCAAATAATATTTATGACTTGTAAATACTGCTAACTTCCAGCTGCCTGTCACTCTTTCTCCAAAGTATTTTTGAGAGAAGGTTCCTCTGGAATGGCATGAGTTAAGAGTTCAGGGATCTGCTAAAAGCATAGCCATGGAATGACTTCAGAGAGAATATATCGTTTGAGTTATAATATCATTCATCAAATACAAACATATGTAAGGCAAGTAATAATTTCTTGTTTTATTCTGCAGGGTTTGCTGGTGGCAACAATTTTCTGTTTTTTTAATGGAGAGGTATAGTACTTCATTTATATATATATCTCTTTTCTATGAATGAGTTGGATTGCTGGTTTGAAACCTAGCTGTGCTAGATGTTCTAAATCTAACTAGAGCTTTTAGGGTGGTTCCAGATCAGGGTTAAATCACCCTGCGTCCTTCATATAATTTTAAGAAGATTGTCTTCCATTATCTATTAACCATCTCCCCCCCCCCACTGCTGCTTTGGTCATTTCACTTATAAAATGCTCAAAGAGAATGCACTATACCTTTCAATAAGTCACACTGAACTTTCTGTCTGGAATAATTTCTTATCTGTAGCTGAAAGGGGAAACATCTTTCTAAAATATAAGCACCAAATATAATAAATATATTTCTTGCAAGTAAAAACAAAACAAATAAATAAATTTAAGCCAGAATTATCCATGGAACCTACACATGGCTGATTTTGCAGTTATATTTGACTGCAAATATAACCCTTACAACGTGTTTACTAGTGTTCAAAATATAAATCTTTATGATTCATAACAGAGAATTGTTGTTCCCCAAATAATTATCATGAATGGGAAACACTGATCAGGAGCTGATAATTTTTAGCCACAAGATTCCCTTCAACATCTCCTAACCTTTCACAAAGCAGATCTGCAGTCTTTCTCTTCAGTTATCAACTGTTCTTAGAGGTAATGAATTCCATTCACATTTCATCAAGGCCTCTAGTAAATCAAACTTCCTGTTGCACAGGTGGCTTACCACATTGTATGAGCGGAAACTATTGCAAAACAGAACATCCTCCCAAAGAAATGGGTAAACAAATTGAGACCTTATGTGGCTTCATTTGTATTATCCAACATATTTTTAACCAAGGTGAACTCGACTCAGGAAACAGTTTTTCCACCATCTTGATGGAAATATAAATCAGGTTTGTCAACTGAAAAATCCTGCAGGATTAAGCCAACAAAAATTACACTGTCTCACATGCTGCTGAGCATCTAAAATTGATCAGTAGTGTTACAGAAAATTTATTATGTACATATGTAATTTCTCCATCCTTATGGTTACTCAGAGAGAGAGATACGTGAATTCCGAAACAGTCTTTCATCCAGAGATTCTTCCTTGCAGGCCAACAATTTCAAGGCTAATTATAACAATTATATTTGATCAAAAAGCTTCTTCTATAATACGTGTGTTAATCTTTTTGTGCTGCCCAAAGATTCTTTGCTGTTCTTGTAACAGGTTAATGCAGCTACTATTTTGGAAAATATTTTGTAACATTTTCCTTTTATTTGAAACGACAGTCATTGCATGCACATTTCTGTGTCTGTAAACACCTAAATCAAAGGCTCTTTTGGTTACTACAGAAAGAGCTGGGGATGAACTAAAATTCAGTTAATGTTATTTGGGGTACATTTGGTGCCATAAAGTTCTCAAGGAGAGTAACCCACCTTACAGAATTCAGTTCTCAGTGCTGTGGAAATAGAAATATCAATGAGTATTTAATAGTTATTAATGCTATTAAAGAAAGCTTACACCACAATTTGTATAGCGTTAAATTACTCAGATGACCAAATGAACCCTCTAGAAATGCAACATGTATATGTTTTTCTCCTTATACCTTATACCTTGACTTATCTCTTCTTTCCTTTATATACCTTAATTGCTCAGTGCTGTGTTCTTTCTATCTCACTGGAAAAAAGCTCAGTAGACTTGAGTCTTGACCAACAATATGCAATTGTTAATCCAGAGCAGAAGAGGAAGAAAACAAGCCCCCATTTTCCCCCCTTTAACTTCTATCAGTTATTTTATTTTATTTTTTTTCTAAAATAGGTCCAGTCTGTCCTACGGAGGCACTGGAATCAGTACAGGATCCAGTTTGAACACAGTTTTGCCCACTCCGATGGTCTCCGGTCAGCTTCTTATACAGTTTCTTCCTCCTTCACTGATGGCCAAAGCTTCAGTTTTAACCATGACTGCACCAGTGAACATTTAAATGGCAAAAGCTTTAGCGAGATGGAAGATGTTGCTTTTAAACCCGAAAAGCTGTATGGGTGATCACAGAAGATTGTCAGTTCTCACCAATATATTATTTCAAAACGATGACTCCCTGAGCAGCAGTGACTTTTGGGGAAAATGGTTGTTCTTGAAAAAAATGCAATGAGTTCAATGTGTTTATTGTGTCCACATGCATTAGCATATCTTCGCATGTGAATGCTTGTATACAGGAGCTGGTGACACCCAACCATTGGAATGTTAAGCTTCAACCTCTGGATTTAAAACATTCAGAAAGATGCTGGTTGAGATTTTAATGGGATCAATCATGCCCTAATTAGATCTGTACTTGTATATATGTTTTCAGCATATGAATATATCTGGAGATAGATAAACTTTGCNTTCTATTTTCCTGGAGACTGTTCTTAAAATAGCTTCATGCTACAGCAGTGAGTCAAAAGGCTCACATTCTGATGAAATTCGTGTCTCTTAGGACTATTCCATATTTAGAGTGGACAGTGGGGAATTCTAGTTATAAAATGTCAAGAAAGATCATGCTTCTCAAAAATAGATCCTTTCATCATTTATATAGAAAATGAAACGTATACTGTACAGATGGTTCATTTGATGTAGGACCAAAAGGAGCTGAAGAACTGGCCATCATCACTCGTGCTCAGTAGCTGCCCCTGTATAAATTTCTGTTGACCGATAACTTTATTTTCTTAGGGATGAAATATACATCCAGTCCCTGTCAAAATGATATATATCAGGTAGTCCTTGACCTACGACCACCATTGAGCCCAAAATTTCTGTTCCTAAGTGGGACATTTGTTAAGTGAATTTTGCCTCATTTTGCAACCTTTCTTGCCACAGTTGTTAAGTGAATCACTGCAATTGCTAAGTGAGGAACATAGTTGTTAAATGAATCTGGCTTCCCCATTGACTTTGCCTGTCCAGGTCGCAAAAGAGGATCACATGACACTGGGCATTTGCAACCATCATAAATATGAACCAGTTGCTAAGTGTCCGAATTTTGATCACGTAACCATAGGGATGCTCCAATGGTCATGAGAAAAACGGTCATAACTCACTTTTTTCAGTGCTTTGAACGGTCACTAAAAGAGCTGTTGTAACTTGAGGACTATGTATGTGTGTGTGTGTGTATTTTCCTCTGATTTTCTTTTTTAAATACAGAAAAAATGAAAGAACAATAACTCTAGCAACATAATAACAAAAGCAAAAAGTCCAAATGTCAAGTTTGATACATTTACATAATACTAGTCCCTGTGCTTTAAATAATCAGGACAATTACTAATATCAGTTTAATGCATAATTTAAAAACAGGAGTGACAGGAAAAATAGAGGAATTAGCACAATATATGAAAAGATCCAAAACAATTCCAAAATATTTGACCAGTTTGCCTGAAAATATTGAATTAAAATCAATCTTTATTACGGCCACAGACCAGCACAAAAATTAAACATTAAAATAAATACATTCTCTGAAAATTCTTGGAAAGTAACTAAGCAAAGTAATAATACGAGTAAGGGTCTGTAGTTCTTTAGGTGTTTTTCCTTATTATCATTGCAGCAGCACAAATTTTTGCTATTTCACAAGTGGTGACTGGATTTGAATCCTGAAGGAGATGGTTCATGTAGAAATTGTCAGATCTCCCTAGAAATCTCTCTAGTAGAGGGAGAATATATGTTGATCTGATGTCCCTGTAGAAGAACTTGCAGCTCAATAGGTTCTGTGAGACATCTTCAACTTCCCTATTGCCACATGTACACATTCGCTCAGCTATTGGGGTTTTATCATACCTGGCCTGCAGGAGTGCTAAGGGGAGGATATCAAGTCTGGCTCTAGAAAATAGTATTCTACTCTTAGGGAAGAGGCAGGACTTTCAGATACCTTGCTGGTTCCCACACATCCCATTTAATCCGATTTCTGCTGTGGAGAGATATCCTGTTAAGTTCTAGCTGGAACTCCATGTCTCTTATTCTACTGGTAACCACTTGCTTGACTTGATTGTAGCCTCGGGATATTAAAAACAACGGGGAAAGTCCATAGAAGGCCAGCTTATGTTCTATCACCTGTTTCCAGGTGAAAGTTGTCTATCAGGACTAAAAGGGGTCAAGACCTCTGGGAAGAATGAAAATATTGAGGGGTGAAGATTTGGAGTGTTATCTGTTCTGCAATTATTCTATGTATGATATGGATAACTTTTAATTTGTTATGTCCTACTTCAGGGTAACATTCTTTCGTGATAAGCTATATGAAATTGATTAATCGTGATAAGAATAATCTAATAAAGTAGCCTGGCAATATTGTCAGAAAGATTGTGAGCTTTTCTTTTTCCCTCTCCTTGGTTGATTTTGGTTTTTGACAGGATGGTCTGGTCTATCCAGAGATGTTCCAGAGCTCTTTTCTGAATGTTCACTATTTACAAATTATTGTTATCTTGCAAAATATAATAAAAACAATGCAAACAGCCACTTATCCTCTTCTTCAATAAAAGGGTCTTTAAAGCATACAGTATGGTTAATGCCAAATGTATTGTAACAAGCTATTTTGAACACTTGCATTCTTTTTTTTGGGGGGGGGGTGTTCACAATGAATTTGGGTGTCCTATTCCTGTCATTTCAACCACTCTCTCCCCATCACAACTCAAGTACTTTTGGGGTTTCACTTTGGATGTGCAGCACAAGATCCGTAAAAGAAAATCAGAAACATTCACAGAATGCTCTTCTTTCCCTTGCAGGTGAATCTCTTTTTCCTGTTGAACATTGTCCGCGTTCTAATCACAAAGTTAAAAGTCACCCATCAGGCGGAATCCAATCTCTACATGAAGGCAGTCAGAGCCACCCTCATACTGGTGCCCCTACTCGGCATTGAATTTGTGCTGGTCCCATGGCAGCCACAAGGCCGTGTCGCTATAGAGATTTTCAGCTATGTGACACACATCCTGATGCACTACCAGGTATCAAGGGTTCAGAAGTGTTGGAAATTTATAGTGCTTGGAATCTGAACAAAATGAGTAATTGAACTGATTTCTTATTCAAGCAGCAGTTGGGAGTCTTGAATATACAGTATATATATATTTAGCACAGTATTTTGCTCAGATTTCTCATGTTAAGAACTGAATGACATTGCAAGAATGAGAGGAGGGGAACAAGTCCTTCACAATTTCTGCCTTCAGGATCAGTTTTTCTAAAGATAGGAAAGGGAGTAAAAGTGTTTTTTGTAGCCAGCAATTTCCAATACACAGCACTTTTACAATCATGCACAAGAACAAGTTCCTTCCAAACTTCGTAATTACTGCTTTGGCAGACCTCCTTCTGAGATCTGTTTTCTTAGCCAATAGCTTTTGGCTATGAAATAGCCACACAAGGTCCAATGTAAAGTCAAGTGAAATCATAATTAGAAAGAGAAAAAACAATTTTCAGATTAGAGCAAATGACCTCGAAGCCGCAGTCAACAGAGAATTAGTGCATGGAAGGTATCAGAAGATATTTTAGAATCAACTTGTTTCAGTCCTATTTAAGTTGGTCTACCAAGGAGGGATCAATGAAGATTGAATCAAATAATATTTATGACTTGTAAACACTGCTAACTTCCAGCTGCCTGTCACTCTTTCTCCAAAGTATTTTTGAGAGAAGGTTCCTCTGGAATGGTATGAGTTAAGAGTTCAGGGATCTGCTAAAAGCGTAGCCATGGAATGACTTCAGAGGGAATATATCGTTTGAGTTATAATATCATTCATCAAATACAAACATATGTAAGGCAAGTAATAATTTCTTGTTTTATTCTGCAGGGTTTGCTGGTGGCAACAATTTTCTGTTTTTTTAATGGAGAGGTACAGTACTTCATTTATATATATATATATATATCTTTTCTATGAATGAGTTGGATTGCTGGTTTGAAACCTAGCTGTGCTAGATGTTCTAAATCTAACTAGAGCTTTTAGGATGGTTCCAGATCAGGGTTAAATCACCCTGCGTCCTTCATGTAATTTTAAGAAGATTGTCCTCCATTATCTATTAACCATCTTTTCCCCCCCACTGCTGCTTTGGTCATTTTCACTTATAAAATGCTCAAAGAGAATGCACTATAGCTTTCAATAAGTCACACTGAACTTTCTGTCTGGAATAATTTCTTATCTGTAGCTGAAAGGGGAAACGTCTTTCTAAAATATAAGCACCAAATATAATAAATACATTTCTTGCAAGTAAAAACAAAACAAATAAATAAATTTAAGCCAGAATTATCCATGGAACCTACACATGGCTGATTTTGCAGTTATATTTGACTGCAAATATAACCCTTACAACATGTTTACTAGTGTTCAAAATATAAATCTTTATGATTCATAACAGAGAATTGTTGTTCCCCAAATAATTATCATGAATGGGAAACACTGATCAGGAGCTGATAATTTTTAGCCACAAGATTCCCTTCAACATCTCCTAACCTTTCACAAAGCAGATTTGCAGTCTTTCTCTTCAGCTATCAACTGTTCTTAGAGGTGATGAATTCCATTCACATTTCATCAAGGCCTCTAGTAAATCAAACTTCCTGTTGCACAGGTGGCTTACCACATTGTATGAGCGGAAACTATTGCAAAACAGAACATCCTCCCAAAGAAATGGGTAAACAAATTGAGACCTTATGTGGCTTCATTTGTATTATCCAACATATTTTTAACCAAGGTGAACTCGACTCAGGAAACAGTTTTTCCACCATCTTGATGGAAATATAAATCAGGTTTGTCAACTGAAAAATCCTGCAGGATTAAGCCAACAAAAATTACACTGTCTCACATGCTGCTGAGCATCTAAAATTGATCAGTAGTGTTACAGAAAATTTATTATGTACATACGTAATTTCTCCATCCTTATGGTTACTTAGAGAGATACGTGAATTCCGAAACAGTCTTTCATCCAGAGATTCTTCCTTGCAGGCCAACAATTTCAAGGATAATTATAACAATTATATTTGATCAAAAAGCTTCTTCTATAATACGTGTGTTAATCTTTTTGTGCTGCCTGAAGATTCTTTGCTGTTCTTGTAACAGGTTAATGCAGCTACTATTTTGGAAAATATTTTGTAACATTTTCCTTTTATATGGCGGGAGCAGAGGACCATATCGGGTTTTGGGAGCACGCACACGCTGCTTACAAGCTTGTGGGTGCTCCGATCCTCAGAGCTCTACTCGACTTCCAGGGACCTTAGATCCTCAGGCCCGGGACCATCGGCTGATGTTGTGCAATGCCAGGTCCGTGGTGAATAAGGCCCCCCTCATCCAAGAACTCATTCACGAG